CCCCAGCTGGTCAGGTACCATGTATGCATTTAGCAAACATACCTGGGAACCTGTCAGTAGTACTGTACATGTGAAACAAGCAAAATGAGGCTAAAATTTAAAAAGAAAACCTCACAAATCTACTTTTTAGCATATGTCAGCAAATTCCACCTCTCAGTACAACTCTGCCTTACAGAACTAGGTCTCAGCTGCCAAATGAATAGAAGCTGCCATCTCTACCTCTCCACTCCCAAATACACATGATTTGAACTGTCTTATCTGGCTGAGCTCAGTAGAATGTGAGACAAAAGAGGAGGCATTTTTCTTTTTTAAGTTTAATGGTTTAAATACATTTGCAAAAGGCACAAAAGAGAGCAGAGGAAACATTGCATAACAGAAAAATAAGTCTGAAAGAAAAGATGCTAAATTGCAGATACTTTAGCCACCACTGAATATCTCATATTATGAATGCTTAGCATAAAGGCCTATAATATATGGGTGCCTGGGTGGATGGATCAGTGGGTTAGGAGTCTGACTTCGGTTCAGGTTATGATCTCAGGGTCCTGGGATTGAGACCCACATCAGGCTCCCTGCTCAGTGGGAAGTCTGCTTCTCCCTATCCCTCTCCTTCCACTTCTCTCCCAATTCATGCTCTCTCTCTCAAATAAATAAAATCTTAAAAAAAAAAAAAGCCTATAAGATAGTCATGCTCACATGTTTGCAAGGAGACCACCTACTATGAGCTTTCATTTATCACACCATGGCTTTATTCCTCTATAGGAACTGTGAAGTGAAAATCCATGTCATCCAAAATTGGACTCTAAAACCAAGAGTCAATCAAAAGCCATTTCAGTAAAATGAAGTTTTACTTTACATATGACAAAGCTGCAAAGGTAATGAAACATTTTAGCTTTAAAAAACATTTTTTGAGATTTTTGTCCTATTAATTACTTGTTAGAGTCTGTCTAGTATATTATACTCAAAAAATATTTTTGAATAAACAAATGAATACATTCATCATAAGCAATTTATATGAAAAGAACAGAGTAATGTACCTTACATTTTTGGACAGAAGGCTTCCTAAATTCCATTTATTTATTTTCTGAGCTTTCCTTCTGAAGCAAAATAAGTCAACAGACTCATATACACAGATAACCAAAATGAGAGAGCTAAAGTAAAAAGAACAATAATAGTCATGAATTTATCTCTAAGGCCTAGATTATTCCTCATTAAAAAAACTCACTTAGGATAGCACTTTCCATAGGTACCACAATGAGATACCACCTCACATCTCCTAGAATGGCTACTATCAAAAAAAAGAAAAAGAGGGGAGGCGAGGGGAGGCGAGGGGAGGGGAGGGGAAGGAAGGGAAGGGAAGGGAAGGGAAGGGAAGGGAAGGGAAGGGAAGGGAAGGGAAGGGAAGAAAAAAGTGTTGAAAATGTGGAGAAAAGAGAACCCTCCTGCACTTGGTGGGAATGCAAACTGCTGCAGCCGCTCTGGAAACAGCATGGAGGTTCCTCAAGATATTAAAAATATCAGAAAGGGAGACAGAACATGGAAGACTCCTAACTCTGGGAAACGAACCAGGGGTGTTGGAAGGGGAGGAGGGCAGGGGGTGGGAGTGACTGATTGGCAGGCACTGAGGGGGGCACTTGACGGGATGAGCATTGGGTGTTATTCTGTATGCTGGCAAATTGAACACCAATAAAAAATAAATTTATTATTAAAAAAATAAAAAAACAAAACTCAAAAAAAAACAAACAAAAAAAAGAAATTAAAAATAGAATTAGGGCAGCCCCGGTGGCGCAGCAGTTTAGCGCCGCCTGCAGCCCGGGGTGTGATCCTGGAGACCCGGGATCGAGTCCCGCGTCGGGCTCCCTGCATGAAGCCTGCTTCTCTCTCTGCCTGTGTCTCTGCCTCTCAGTCTCTCTCTCTCTCTCTCTCTGAATAAATAAATTAAAAATCTTTAAAAAAAAAATAGAATTAGCATAGGATCCAGTAATTCCACTTCTGGGTATTTATCCAAAAAAAATGAAAGCACTAACTCAAGAAGATATCTGCACTCCATGTTCACTGCAGCATTATCTACAACAGCAAGACAAGGAGGACACCTAAGCGTCCACCGATATATGAATGAAGAAGTTGTGGTATTTATACACAATAGAATATTATTCAGCCCTTAAAAAGAAGGAAATCTTGCCATTTGCAACAACATGGGTGGACCTGGAGGGCACTGTGCTAAGTGAAATAAGTCAGAGAAAGACATGCCACATGGTCTCACTTACATGTGGAACCTAAAAAACGAAAAAACTCCTAGATACACGGAACAGACCATGGTTGCCAAAGGAGGGAGCAGAAGGTAGGTGAAATGGGTAAACAATCCTCCAGTTATAAAACATAAATCCTGAGAATGCAAGGTACAGCATGACAACTATAATTAATACTGTAGTGTATATTTGAAAGTTGTTGAGAGATCTTAAAAGGTCTCATAAGAAAAAAAAAGTTGTAATTATGTGTGAGGACAGACTTACTATCTAGACTTACTATGGTGACCATTTCGCAAAATGTGTATATATCAAGTCATTATGTTATACACCTGAAACTAATACAATGTTATATGTCAATTATATCTCAATTACAAAAACCAACCAGGAAATACACACACACACACACACACACACAAGAAAAAGAAAAAAGAGGGGGACCTGGGTGGTTCAGTGGTTGAGTGTCTGCCTTTGGCTCAGGTCATGATCCCGGGGTCCCAGGATAGAGTCCTACATCGGGCACCCCACAGGGAGCCTGCTTCTCCCTCTGCCTATGTCTCTGCCTTTCTGTGTCTCTCATGAATAAATAAAATCTTTAAAAAAAAAAGCGAAAGAAAAAAGAAAACACCTCATTGCAGGTGGTGATGATCATAGTACACTAGTGTTGGTAGCAGGAGTGGAGGCAACAGTTCCTGCAGTCATTATTATTAAATTCTTCTCAGGCAGCCCAGGTGGCTCAGCGGTTTAGTGCCACCTTCAGCCCAGGGCGTGGTCCTGGAGACCCGGGATTGAGTCCCACGTCAGGCTCCTGAATGAGGCCTGCTTCTCCCTCTGCCTTGTGTCTCTGCCTTTCTCTCTCTGTGTGTCTCTCATGAATAAATAAATAAAATCTTTAAAAAATAAATAAATTATTCTCAATTCTGTATAATAACTAAAATTCAATAATTATATGCCAACTTCAATGTATGACAGAAAGCACAGAAATTAGGTGATTTGTCTGTGGCCCCAAGAGGGATGAGTTAGAACCCAACTCTCCCAACTTGTCCAATGCCAAATTGAGTCCCAGTGCAAACACCTAAGGATCTGGACACAATGCTCACAGACTCTCACTTTTTCTATTCCCAGGGCTGCGCTGGAGTATTTAATTGCATGGTGACCACAACTGCCCCTGGTGCCTACATTCTTCCATGTCTATTTATTCTGGGAAAGATTACTAAGAAATCCTACTGCCTCTGGAGTTGATACTACACAGATTTAGTATTTCAACATTTTCTAACTCCCACAATTCAAAATCCTAACTAAATATCATAATTGTGAGCTTTCTAGAAGTACAGAAAATCAACCTTCATCTCAAACATTCTGAATCAGAATAAACCACAGTATTTGCTCTGGAAAAAAAAAAACAGTCTAACAGGGAGAACAGAAATAAACCACGGGGACCTCAAATATGCAAATATCAGATACAGGCTAAGAAACAAAGATTCTTCTCATGTTTACAGATAAAAACGTTACGCTTGATAATTTTGGCAGAGAACTGGAAATGACTTTTTTTTAAGACATTGTAAATCTGAAGAAAAACAAAGCAAATACTCTAATACAGACAAACACCATGACCCATCAATGAATGGGTTTAACAGCAAATCAGACATGGCTGAGAAGAGAATTACAGACAGAAGAAAATGTCTGGAGTAAAGCATGGAGAGATAAAATACATTAAACACAGAAGAGAGGGTAAGCAAAACAACTTCTACAGAAAACAGGCAGATGGAAAGAGAATGGAATAGAGACAAAATCTACAGGGATAATGGCTGAGTTTCCAAAACTGAATGGGAAAAAAAAAAATCTGCTGTTTCAAGAAACCCAATAAATCCCCAAAATAAATAAACTCATCAAAATAAAATCAATATATATTGTATGGCAATTTATGGCAATAAAAAAAGATTAGGAGTTCTCAGAAATTTTCTAGTAAAAGGAAGCAAGTAAAAAGTTAAGTATTTTAGCTAAGGAGAAACAAACACTAAAAAAAAAAAAGCACAACGATGCCACTGACAAATTATTACAAACAGTTATTTACCTCCAGGAATAAGATCAGATTTTGAAGCAAACTTTAGTTAGATTATATGACCTTATATTTTAAAGGTTCTTCTGGACTTAAAATTCTGATCTTTAACTAAAACTTTATCTGTGGTTTGCACTCATCCGTTTCAATCATGCTTTTTATGTTAACAGTTCAAGTGAAGTGCAGCCATACAAACAAGTCAATGAATAAACATGAGCCTCTCATGACACTCTTCATCTGTAAAAATGAGGATATTACCCTGTACTGCTCAGAGTTTTTGAAGGGATTGAATCAGGTAATATATGTGAAAAAGTATCAAAATTCTGAGCACACACATTTTAGTTTCGTGTTCCTTTTTCCGTGGCCTGCAGCTACCACCTCTCGCCACTAGATGGCAACGCTGCACGAGTAAGGAGAGTAGTCTGGCTTGTATTCACCAAGTCCAAGTGAAATTAGTAAGAAAATGTGTAAAAAGCAGGGGTTCTCCTACCATCTGATCAGCTGACAGATAGGCTTCATACACTTGAAAGAAGAGGCTGTGACAATTTTATATTCTATAAGAAATGGAAGTATTATAACACCTTTACTTCTCATTTTAAAATCTTATTTTAATTAAGAAATGCAGGAAATCCTATGAAAACAGTATTATATAAGGTAAAATAGTTGTTGATGGCTAATGAAAATGCTTGAACATTTACCTCTGACCCCAAACTGAGAGAAACAATCTCATCCTCAAAAGCAGAATGTGTGTCAATATGAGCAGGAATTCCTGGGACAGAAAATAAAATAACATGTCATTTCATTTTTCCTTTCAGTAGATTTCAGATGACTCTAAATACGGCCTCACATTATTAGGGTGAGAACATTGGTAATCAGGAAAGTACTATAACTTTAGTTAAAAGTAAACATTTAAGGGGAATGTGACTACATAAAATCAAACTAATTCTGAACTAGAAATGTCTTCATATTGAAGCGCTGCTAGCACTCCATTCTGAAATCAGGACGTGAGAGTCACTGCTTACCTAGGCCATTTACCTACACCCAGCCCAAGAGCATGACATGAAAGGTTAAGTACCAAAGTCGTGTTTTCCCTTCAACAGGGATCCCCCAAGTACATGCACAACAACAGCAATGGCCAGGTGTGAAAACCAAGCATACCAATCAAGATGTGGCTTCCTCCATTAACTTCTCATGTAAGTGTACTGAGTAACCCCTAAGAAAAAGGAACTCTGCTACATGGTAAGAGTACATAAAGCAAGTAAGACATATCCCTGTCCTCAAGGAGCAGACAGACCGATAGAAAGACTGACAGGTAAATAAGCAATTACAGTACAGTGTGATAAAAGCAGGAAAAAAAAACAAAACTCCACGACGTCTGCCTTAAGATTAATAAATCCTAAGATTGTTTCATTAGGAAAAGATTAATAAAATTAATAATTTTTAAGATTTTATTTATTTATTCATGAGAGACACACAGAGAGAGAGAGAGAGAGAGGCAGAAACACAGGCAGAGGGAAAAGCAGGCTCCATGCAGGGAACCCAATGTGGGACTCGATCCTGGGTCTCCAGGATCACGCCCTGGGCCGAAGGCGGCACTAAACCACTGAGCCATCCGAGCCGCCCAATTAATAATATCCTTAAGATAATCTCATTACTACAACTATCGATGAAGATGCTGCTCTAAGTGCAAAAACCTCAAGGGTCTCAAGATTTTTTACTAACGTATCATCCTAGAACTGTCTTCACATTCTCAAAGGAGAAGGAAGAGCAAGACCATGCAACCAAGCAGCCTCCTGCAGGTATCTGTAAATGATACAAATGGTTCTTCTTACCCATGTCTCCTATGTCTTTAAAACAATCTCTTCCCTCTCTACATGAAATGTTGAGAAGCAGACAAAAAAAAATCACAAACAGCAACTGTGCCAGTCTGCTAATCTAAACTTTGAGACATGAGGGGCTAACATGTAGATTTGTAAGGGACTAAAGTCAACACCGGTAACAAACAGAAGCAAATCCCTGTGGAGAGTCAGTGTAAGCTATAAAAAGAATATCTTTGAGTTACAGAATCTACTTAGTTATGAACTATATGACTGGATGTTAAAAGAAGAAAATACTCACCATGTCCAGGTTCATACTGGTTTATAGTCAACTGATCGGGTTTGTGTTTAATGAAACCTTCTTTCAACCATTTCTCCAGAAGGCTATCACAAATGCCAGGAAGACCTGATGTCAGTATTCATAAAGATAGAACATTAAGATATTTGCTTTGCATGTTTTACTCAAGAATAAAAAAAGCCACTAGGAGAAAAACCACAGCCTTTAACTTAGCAGTCAAGATCTAAACAGAAAAATAAACCCATAAGACAAAACAAAATAAAAACAAAACCTTAAGAATCTTTTATTTTATTGATTTTAATCAAACAAAATATCCAAAAGAACAATTTTGCCCACAATTTTAGCATTTTGTAAAACAGCAATAAAATTATAAAATTTACTATTATATACTGAAAGTTAGCCTGACCACCCTTTCTTATTTAAATTATTCTTATTTAAATTTAATTTAAATTTAACTTACTTATTCTAAATCATTTCCTTTTATTTTCTTTAAGTTTTTTTATTCATTTAAGAAATCTCCACACCCAACATGGGACTCACACTCACAATCCCGAGATCAAGATTTGCTCTCTCTTCCGACTAAGCCAGACAGGTTCCTCTAAATCATTTCCTCTTAAAAAACACAGTTTTCAGGGGCTCCTGACTGGCTCAGTCGGAGGAGCATGTGACTCTTGATCTCCAAGTTGTGACACTGAGCCACACATTAGGTATAGAGATTACTTTAAAAATTAAAAATTTTTTTAAAATTAAAATATTTAAAAAAAAAGCAAAAAGCAAAAACAAAAACAAAACACGGTTTTCAAAGTAGAACTAATTTATTTTCACTAGAGTCAGAAACATTATTTCATGAATGACAGTAAGCCTTAAATAAGATTAAAAGTCATAAAGATAAATATAACTCCAATAAAATCCTACCGAAGGTTTAATATCCAGATTATACGGTAAAATCTTACTAATCAGTCAACCCCTTAGGAAAAACTGACAAAGGATATGAAAAGGAATTCCAGAAAGGTAAATAAAAATGGCCAACCTCACTAGTAATCAGGAAATGATATAGTTAAACATTTTATAATATCCTATATTGGTGTGGGTCAGGGGAAGGAGGTACATACACGCTCTATAGGAGTATGTCAATACAGCTGGGTTGGGAGTAATTTTTCAGCATCTATTAACATTTTTAAATGAATAAAACTTCAACATAACAATTCTACTTTCTGCTTACTACATAAGAGTTATATATAAAGACATGCACAGCAGCACTCCTTATATAAAGGCTAAAAGCTAGAAATAACCTAAATGTTGAGCAACTGGGAATTAACTGAATAGGCCATTGCTGAACACTGAATACAATGAAAAACTGGGTAAGATCTCCAAGACATTTAATAAAGGAGGAAGAACAGGCTGGAGGGATACATGGAATATGTGAACATACAACATAGCATACAGCATAACACATGTTAACAACTGTATACTTTTACAGGTATCTGCCCTGCGATGCAACGTCAATTGTTACAGGACGGGAATGATGTGTACACACCTGCTAACAGTACTACTGCTGAGAAGTATGGAGGAAGGATGATGTTCAAAAGGGACTCTACCCTTAGCTCTATGTATCCAGTTCTTACAACAAAACTCCACCACTGTATGTAATTTAAAGGTTTTAAATTTAATCAGCTATTTCAACATTCTGCCTAAAAATGACCAATGAAACATAGTATGACCTACTTCCAATATATTAAATATTTCTTTTCTGAGCTAGTATTTGTCGTTTAGTAACAATTACTTACCCCCAGGTAATGGCATGTCTTTATCTACATTGTTGTTCTCATAGTGGAATTCATAACCAAAATGCTTTACTCTCCTGTGTTTCAAGGATTTTTGAACTATATGAAGAGAAGAAAGTAAACGATTTAAGAGAAAAATATTTGCTTTCCTTTGTCAATTTCAAAGTCAAAATTGTGAGCTGGGATTCCCTGAGTAAAGGTAATTTTTGTTAACGGCTAAATTATTGTCTTTAATAAACCTAACCATTCTACCTCATCTCTGCTGTTCTTTTCAGTCTAAAATGGTAACAAACCCTTATAGAATTTCCCCCCATCAATCTGAAAGAGTCAAACATGGGCGCTGCCACTCACAAGACCATTTATGATGTGGAATGAGTCAGAGGAAATCTAATTTGCAAACATCTCCAGGAGGCTCTTCCTGCGTTGCCACTGTTGCGGCAGAGCGGGTGATCGTGCACAGGAAATGTGACTTAGGGGGAGAAGATCAAAGAAGATAATGTATGTGAAAGGGCTTATCAGTGTTAGCTCTACAAATGTCAGCTAATAAATATTAATCAGTTTGGAGCTTAAAATTGATAGCTATATAAGTGTCAATTTTATTAATGCTCCTAAGAATTATTGGTATGACTTGCCAAATATTAGATCTAGCCTACTTTCACTAATTTTGAGGAAATATTAGAAATTTTAATAAAGCAAAGGAGGAGGAAAAAAGAAGCAGTAACATGGCATTCTGCAAACATTAAATATCATATTTTAAAAATTTTACTTACCATTTTGATTCTCTATATCCTCTGTCCAGTTAATACTTTCCAAAAGCATTTTCTCATCCTCAGATGAAATAATTTCTTCTACTACCATGAGGCCTGGAGGTAAGGCCTGAAGCCCCAACTCTTTCCACTGTGCTGTGGGAAACCAAAACAAAATAGTCACATACAAAACTTAATGTTCCTAAATATACATAATTCTGCCCAGAGGCCATTTATCAGTTCATAAAATCCCCAACACTCATATTCAAAAATAAGAATGCTAAAGGCACATGACATAAGAAAACACAAAAACAAAGTCCAAGATAAAAATTATGATACATTTTATCCACTTTAATTACCAACGGCAAAACAGTATTTCCTTAAATATTATTTGATCAAGCTACTTTTAAATCTCACTAAGAAACAAGGTTTCTCTTAATATCTACAGTTTGCCTCTCCACTAAAAAGACAGACTCTCTCTAAATACTGAAAACAAAACTTTAAATGCTCATTTTTGCCCTTAGGTTCTTGACACTAGCTAAGGTTCAGTAACAGAAAAAGGTAAAACAACAAAAAACTTATCCTAAAGAAATAAAATGCCATTGTATGAAAAATTATTTGGTATGTATTAAAATAATTTAAGTCCCTGTGCCCTTCAAAGAATTAAGACAGGTTCAGCTGTGAAAGAAAAAGAGGAAAGAATTTACGACTAAAGGGAATAGTGTAATTCACATTTACCATTAGGGATCTCATCGTTCACGTTACAGATGTAACTTCTAAAGCTTTTCTGCTGAAGAGTTTTCATGCTTGAATCGTTTAATATAAAAATTCACAAAAATAATAATATAAATGTCTACTAGATTTTACTATTATTTCAGAAATACAAATAGTGAATTATCTAACCAATATTTATCAAGTGTTTATTATATATCAGGCATCATATTACTTATCCAAATCATGTAAGAAAAACTTTGGAGAAAATTCCTTAAAGGCAGGCAATTATAGTACAATTCATACTTAGTTTTCTAAAAAAATCTGAGAAAAAAAGAATTAAAAATACCCTTTTTTTGTTATTCAGCGGCTCTCTGGTAGTAGTCAAAACAAGTATCAAAAATTTGTGACACAGTTCTGTTCTCTATTCATTTCTACTAAGAATTATTTTCAAGGTTATAAACATGATAACGATAGTCCTGGAAGTACACCTAGATCTAATGTGGGATTTCAAATAAAGAACACTCCATAAATAAAGCATTTCCTGATTACAACTTACTCCCAAACCATTCAGTTTTCAAAAGCTGACCATAAACACAATACACAGATACTACAGTTTTTTAATCTGTAAAGCTTAAATCAGATTTTAAATTAAATACAGATAGATATTGAGAATTATAACTCCTAAAATATGTCTTTAAAAAGTCTTTAGAAAAAATAAATAAATAAATAAATAAATAAATAAATAAATAAATAAATAAATAAATAAATAAAAAGTCTTTAGAAGTTTCTTCTGCATCCCATTTTACAAAAACAGAAATTCGGTCAGATGATATTCACCTGCCCATCTCAAGGGTATCTGAACAAAACATTAAATTACCTAAATAGGTAAATGAATACAATGAGAGACCAGATGTCTACATCAAAGTTCATCTCAATACATCTAATTTCCATGGGACAGTGGTGAAAAGATACAATGATCTCTGCAGCAGTTCTGTAGATCAGTCTATAAAGCTGTTATTTAATTACCTTAAATGAAATTCAATTAAAAAATCTATTCCTAAATCACACGGTCATGTTGGACAGTGCAGCTATGAATGTAGGAACACTGCCACCATTGCAGGAAGTTCCTTGGACACTGCCACTGTGAAGCTTTAGGGCTCTCTGGTGCCTACAGGTGTTCCGCCATCGATGGCACACTTGGCACACAATCATTCGGATCACAATGAATTCTTAAGTGATTAATTGCAAGCTTCTAAGTAGACTCTATAAAATTGGTAATCTGAATCCCCAGCATTGAATTTGAAAAATGCAATTAGGTAGCAGGGTTCCAAAATAAGCACCATGGATAATAAATATACCATTAGGGTGGTAGGTTCAGCCCCTTCTAGGCAGGCTATGTTTAATGTAACATGGCCCTTTGCCTGGCACATACCAGGTGCATACAGAGTGTTTGTCAGACAAAAAGGAGCTGCCTAAGGAAGTTCTGTTATTGTTTCATAATAGCCACACCTCCTAACTTAGGTATGAAAAGAAAACACACAAAAGAAACAACTACTTTTTATAAGATGCCTGTATACTGATACCTTTCTCCACAAAATTCAAGTACAGAATGATCTTTTGTCCTAAATCATCCACTATTTCTTTTCCGTTGAGGGTGACATAGGCTTTCTTGGCTTCTTCTGCAGTTCTGTATCTCACAAATGAGTAAGGCTTATGAGGTGGCATTAGGAGAGCATCCACCAGCCCATACTTCTCTAACACTGGGAGCAGCTGGTTCCTACTCACACCGTTACCCAACCCACCATTGGCGACAACCAGGCTCTTTAAAAAAACAAAAAAAGGAAAAAAATGAGCAATTAATATCAATCCATTTATTTTCAAATAAGATAAAATAAGATTATTTTTACATAACATTTCCAGGCAGCCTGGGTGGCTCAGGGGTTTAGCGCCACCTTCAGCCCAGGGCATGCTCCTGGAGACCCAGGATCCAGTCCCATGTCAGGCTCCCTGCATGAAGCCTGCTTCTCCCTCTGCCTGTGTCTCTGCCTCTCTCTCTCTCTTTCTCTCTCTCTCTTTCTGTGTCTCTCATGAATAAATAAATAAAATTAATTAATTAATTAATTAAATATTTCCACAAAGGTGTAATTAAGATGGGTAAAAAGGTTTCCTTACGGTAGTTATTTGGTTTTCTAATTTCATACATACTATATAAACCATATATTAAATATTGTGGATTAAAAAGTACACCTATGTTATAAATATTGATTTTTAAATTAGCCTTTGCAGTAAAATATTCCTTTCCTAATGGCCGTACATACAAATTAAAAGGTCACATTTATTACTGCTTATAAGTTCAACACAATGAAAGAGAAATAGGAAGGAAACAAGAAATAGGAGTTACCTAATACTTACTTTTTGCCAGACCATACTATATGCTTTCACCTACTTTCCTGCTTACTTCCTGCCATTTGCAATCCTGCACTAAACTTTATTCAAGGGATTTGCTTGGGGGGAAAAGTTTCCTATTTTTTTTCTGCTGCATATGGCCCAGCACCTCTTGTGAACATTCTACACAGTGTTAACATTTTTAATTTACAATCTATGACTCCTAAAAACTTTGTAGCATAAGAAAAGTAAATCATTATCAGTTTTATTGTTTATATCAGGTATTGACAAATTAGGCTTCACAGGCAAGTCTCTGTCACATACTCTTTGTTTTCATTTTCAACAACTCTTTGAAAATATAAAATTCATTCTTAGTTTACAAGCCAGATTTGACCGGGGGACAGTACTTTGCCAACCCGATTTATACAAAGCTGGAGATCAGAACATAATGTATTTGTTTCATATATACCAAATGGGAATATCTAGAACCTTGTTTTAAAAGAATGTAATAGAATTATTATAAAACTGGATAAGAAAAGTAAAGCTCTGTGCTGTCATGAAAGAGCCAATACTTTCTATGAATGCAAATACACACATACACATGATGAACAAATATACTAATGATATAAAACATGGTATAAAATTCAGTCTAAGATGGCTTGCCTTGAACCTCGCTGAATAGGGTTTATAAATTAAAGTACTAAAATAATTTGATTATATGCAGCCACAGTTACAAAAACATTTCTATATTCCCAAATCTAAGGAATTGCAAAGGTGTTATAAATGTCAAGGGTGACTGCCCCATCTAGAAATTGAGGAGCATGGTGAGGTATGACTTGAGGAATACTAGTGCCCCTCCTCAAAGATGTCCCTCTAAATGATCTATGGGCAATTCTAAAGGCAAACCACACAAAAACAAGTGCAGTGGGGGAAGAAAGTGAGGAATTTATTACCTGTTGCATGTGAGTCACACAATATAATTAAAAGCAATAATTGTCTTATTTATAATTCTTTAGGTAAGCAATTTTCTCAATAATATGAAGTAGAGAATTCAGAGGGTTTTTTAAGTTCTCTAGTCCTGACAATCTTAAGACACTGCTCTAGAAAAATCTTACAATGGCTATAAATTTAGACAAAGACACATATACTTATAACACATCAGGAAAAGACCATTTGTTCTCCCCTGGATAGATAATATGTAATTGGAGGTCCTTCTATAATTTTATTCATTTCTTTTAAAAATATTGTGGAGAGGAGATCCCTGGGTGGCGCCGCGGTTTGGCGCCTGCCTTTGGCCCAGGGCGCGATCCTGTCGACCCGGGATTGAATCCCACGTTGGGCTCCCGGTGCATGGAGCCTGCTTCTCTCTCTGCTTGTGTCTCTGCCTCTCTCTGTTTCTCTGCGTGACTATCATAAATAAATAAAAATTTTAAAAAATCCATATTTAAAAAATAAATAAATAAATAAATAAAAATAAAAATAAAAATAAAAATATTGTGGAGAAAAAAACCATCATGCCCAAATGAGAAAACAATTTAGAAGCCATGAATATGAGATTATAGCTTCTAGAAATCTAAAACAAAAACAGATCTACTAGAAACAGCTTCAAAGGCAGAAAAGAAATTTAACCCATTTCTTTCCTTACACTTGTCTTCACAACTCTAGAAGGAAGGAGCAGAGAGATTATGTCAGTTTAATCTTCTGAATGCCTCACAGCCTCAGTGGCTTTTGGCAGAAATAGTAGAGTCTGTGCAGGCATGTTACTTCTATCTATTATGTGTTCTATCCTCTTTATAAAAATTTGGTTTAATTCTCGGAAGTCATTAGTACTGTGTTTAATCTAGGCATGGGCCTATTACCTGCTAAATTTAAATCTCCCTCAGTAGGGACGCCTGGGTGGCTCTGTCGATTGAGCATCTGACTCTTGCTTTCAGCTCAGGTTGTGACCTTGGGGTTGCAAGATCAAGCCCCATGTTGGGCTCTGAGCTCAATAAGGAGTCTGCTTGAGATTCTCTCTCTCCCTCTCCCCCACTCTCCACTCTCTTTCTCTCTAAAATAAACAAATCTTTAAATAAATAAGTAAATAAATCTTCCCTAACAGAGTATTCATTTCTAAAACTATGATGCAGTACAGAAAACAGTGTAACATGATATAAGGGAAGACCACTGGTCTGAAACCCAAGTTTTAATCCTAGCTTCACCTTCTCTAGGACATGTGTTCAGCCATTGGTTAGATGGCTGATCTTCCTTCTTACCCTTCAGGACCAGAAAAAATACTTTATATTCACATAGAATTTTAATGACTAGTAAGCACTGTCACACACTTGCTCTAGAATATAAATGTCTTTATAAACAAAGAAAGCTGAGATCAAAGGGACTGTTCATGTCCAAATAAGCGGAGAAACTAAGAGTTAAACTAAGTTGTTCTGAACTCACAGTCCCAGACATCTCACAGTCCCTCATAAATATAATTGATATATAATATATTGTAATATTATAAATATACATAATTGAATGATTGCATCAGAAAATGAAAAGGCTTTGTAAATAAGGTCTAATAAATTAAAAATGTTTTGTTGCATGTAATTGAAATCACTTACAACAAAAATGAAGTTAGGAATAGAGGGGAAAAGATTGCATTAGGATACAAAAGATTGAACTTCAGTTTTCTAAAGCACATACCACCTGTCTTAGTCCTCTAACCCATCATATAAGAATTCCCTAAGGAATTAAATATATTAATGAACAGAAGTATGCTTTGTAAACTCTACATAGTTATACAGTGTTTCTGTTATTAACATATACCCACAACTTCCTCTAGTTCAACCAACAGGGTCAATGGAAATTCAAATTATGCCTCTCAAAATTGAAAGTCAGCAGGTCCTGTCACATGTACACTGAATAAAAATGTAACACATGACTGAACTCTGAGCAATTATTAACAAACAGGACTCATAGCACATTAACATGGCAACAAGATTACATTGAACCAGTAACAGTTTTAGGTTACCTGAGTGGCGTAGGATACTGTCTCAATGCCTTCATGTCTCAGCAAAGTGTGCCTGGCTTTAATCTGTTTCCTTAAGAACTTCTTCTCGGTTTTACTGAGTTTGTAATTACTTTGACTGTTGCTGTCCATGGCAATACTGGCGTGGGGGGGCGGGGGGGCAGGGGAGGGAGGAGATACAAAATGTCAACTTTAAGAATCCTAAAGGGAATTATAACAATGCTATTCACATATTCTATAGTTTGTAAGTATTTCTATGTGACCATTTTTTAAAATGCTTACTTTACTTTTCACCAACCAAAAGAAGTGAAAACAAACAGATGCCTGAACCACAAAGGAATATTTAAGAACAAATAACAGCATCTCTGGGGGTTCTACTATAAGCTCTGATGCTTTAGCTCCATTAAATGCACTATATTATCCATAGGTGATATATCCCCTTACTTGTGAAGTCCTGGGTAAAATGTACCACAGACAAGTTTCACAAACACAAGGTTAGAAAAGAAAAAAAGAGAAAGATTCCATTTACATAAAGCTCAAAACCCAAGAGTAAGTCATATATTGTTTAAAAATACACATACAGCAAAATGCCAAGAAAAGTAAATAATAAACATGGAATTCAGGACTGAAGTTATTTCTGGGGGAGGAGAAGAATGTGATATAAAAGGGACATACAAGATCACCAAAGATATTTCTTAAGCTATATGGTGATCTAGGTGTTTTGTTTTTTAAGCTAGACATATTATTTATATGTATATATAAATATATATATATATCTGTATCTATAATTTTTTAAATACAGATTTAAGATCCCCATAGAGCTGTGTTTTCCTTCTAAAACATGCCAGTCAGCAAGTAGTTACTGAACACTTTCCCAAAAAGGCCTTCACACTCTACATCGTGCCTATTTACTGTAGCCACAGAATTCAACATAATTTGTGATGATTTGCATTTGGTAGTTTAATCTCCCCCTCAGGATATACAGTCCAAGAAAGGGAAAAAGAAACAATCACTTAAATTCAGGAGACACATAGAACTCCCATCAAATTCAACAAAAGCAGGCTAACACCAAAACATATTGTAGAGGAATCTAGACATAGTAGGAGCTCAACAAAAATTTGTTGAAGGGACAAATGAATGATAATGGGCAAATACACGTGTGCCCATTTTTGGTCCCCGCGCTCTGCAGCCTACAACTTTAATACACAGTTTATGCTTTCAACAAGTTTATAAGCTAGTTGAAGAAAACAAACACTAAACAATGAAAGAATAGCATATCTTGATATAATTGTTAACTGTAGAGTCTGTCCATGTGACGTGAATTAGAAAAAAAAAAGATTGCTGTTAACTGGAAAAATCTGGGAGAACTTCAAAACAGAAGTCGACTTGAGTTGATCACTGAAGGGCAAGAGGAACACAGAGTCATCTGGAAGGGAGGCATCCAGTGAGGCAATAAAGAGCAGGAGCTAAAAACAGAAATGGATGTGTCTGGCAAAGACAGCGAGAGGTACGCAAAATTTTTTTAGAGCAGAAACTGTTGGCTGATCCACTGATCCCACTCTTCACCCACTTGAAAATCCTCAAAAGTTAGCAAACAAAATAAATTTAGGAAGTTAAATAAAATCATAATCCAAAACAGCTCATAAACAGCAAAAACTCCAATTACTAATTTTTACGTCCAGAGAGAAGATGCTGAGTCGACTGGAAGAATAGCCAATGGCTAGCTCAACTGATACACAGGGTGCGTGTGAGGAGCTGGAGCCAGCTCAGCAGGCCGTCAGACAGCTTTCCAGGGGAGCGAGAGGCAGGAGCAGCTACACTCATGTGGCCTGGCAAGGAGAAACTATGGGCTAATCCAGCCTGTGTGGAGACTGTGAGAAGAAAGGATAAAGGGAGATGGGGGAAAGACAAGAGAAAAGTTCTAGTACCTTCAGTAGGACTTGCAGATGACTGAGACATGAGGGAAAGGGGAAACAGAGGTCCCTTACTAACAGGACAGAGCTTGAGTGACCGAGAGACCAACAATGTCATTCCAAAACTGGAAAGTCAGAAGAGGTCAGGAAGAGGTAGACAGTAACGAGTAAGGGAGGTCATGAGTAGGACATAGGATACAGCAGGTTTGAGGCACTGGTGGGGTACAGTTTCAATGTCTGCCTGGCAGGTAACAATATGAAGTAGCCAAAAGGAGAACTCAGGTTAGAAAGCTTTTGGTGTCATTAGACAGGAAGACGGCTGAACAGGTATTTTTGACATTGCACTAATTATATTTGTTCTAATATTTGGCCCCTTCCATTGGACTCTGAGCTCTTTAAGGACAAGGATTAAACCATAAATGTTTAACCCCCGGAGCCTCCATGAGTGTTAGAAGACAGTATAACACAGTGTCTAGGGGTCCAGGTTCTACACTCAAATATCAGCTCTACCACTTACTAGCTATACAATCCTGTGTGAGTTATTTCTGTGCTTGGGTTTCCTCATCTGTAAAATTGGGCTAATAATGCCTGTTCTTGGCACATAACTAAACCTAAACCGTGCACTAAAAAACATGACCAAACTCTACCATGGCTTCTAGCAGCATAAAGCCTTGTCCCTATGATGTTCCCAGCTTCCCCATTACAATGTCTGCCTGAGAAAACTGAACTGCCAGGAAGTTTTACTATTTGTTCTAGCAACACCTGCCAATAGGACCCTGATCTCCCTTTCTTAGAGCATTTACTAAAAGGGGACTACAATTGTGAATAGGTAGCTCTTGCAACTCAGAAGTATCTCTCTCAGAACCCATGTGTGGCTCAGTCAGTTGGGCATCTGACTCTTGATTTTGGCTCAGGTCATGATCTTGGGGTCCAGGGATCGAGGTCCGTGGCAGGCTCCACACTCAGGGGGGAAATCTCCTTGAGATTCTCTCTCTCCTCCCTCCTCTGCCTCCACTCACATGCTGTCTCTCTCTAAAATGAATAAATCTTTAAAAAAAGAAAAAAAGTATCTCTCTCATGGACCTGAAAGCCACTCCTCTGAAACGTAATCATCAGGAAGGATAGGGCCTGTTTCTCATAGGATAGAATCTTAACTATTATAACTGCTGGCTAGCAAACACAGGTGGCCTAACTGCATTTGCAATGACCAACCCTTTGTGATTTTTCACTTCTCTGACTCTACAAAGCCCCTACTCTGCCCCCACCCCATTCTACCTTTAAAACACCCAAATCATTTCTCACAAATTGGAATGGAGCTCAGCTCTTTCCCCTACTGTCAAGAGTTACTAAATAAAATGTTTTCTACACTTTAATGTCTGGCTGGCTGTGTTAAACTCTGACACTATCTCATAAATTTGCCAAAAGTATTAAATATGTCTACTAATCAATTGTTGATAACTTCCAGAAAAGCCAGATTAGAATGAATTAAGAAGACAAAGTAAAGCTGAGGGCTCTCAAAGGAACTATCTTATTGTCATTGTATTCCAAAGATGATTCCATCTTTGGAATGGCATCTTGCAAACAAGAGATGAATGCACCAAAAATTCTTTTCTTAATATGTCACATGAATAAAGACTGCAAAGTGGAAGAAATAAGAAAGACAGGATGCTGAATATATCCTTTTAAAAGTATGACACTAAGAGCCCAGTACCAGCAGATGGAGCCTCATGATCACATTCTGTCCTCTCTTCCTTCTTCCCTTTCAAAGACAAATCCAGATGGCTCTGAAAGCCCATTTGTTCCCCATTCCAGGGACTTAGCAATGTGCTGCCCCAGGAGGTCTGAGTCACCTCAACAAAAGGAATAGCCTGATACCAGCTGCTGAGGTCTGGAGGTACCCCTTTCTAACAAGGACACATCCCTGGCCAAGAAATTTCTACGACTGCACAAAGGTTTGGATTCTCCATGGCACGTCTGTAGAAGTGTTACAGGATGTGACGGGAGTGACGTCATTATTTACCAGATAAAGCATTAGCCATACTGAGTCCAGTCTAATAAAAGACAGTCTAAGCACTCTCTGTAGGATAACACGAGGTTAGAGATCACACAGACTCTGCTACTAAGTTTAATCCCAACATACCCTATTGGAGATTGCCCTATGTGGTAATAGTAATGTGTGATCCTGCCCGACCTGAACAAAAGAACATCCATAATGCAGGAAAGCAGTATAGAAAAATGTTCCTGTGCTTGTAGGTAAATTTTGCTTAATTAACAGCTAAAGTTAGAAAGAACTTAAATTCCTCTCAGATGAGACCTGTTTATAAAATACAGCACAGGTATAAAGAGTATACATATAAATCTCTAGAACAAAAAAGAAATTAGTGATATGGGTTGGCTCCAGGAAAGGGAAATGGGTAGACTAGTACAGGAATCAGAGGGAGATTTCTTCTGTCATAACTTTTGAATTTAGTAGCTATTCAGATTGCACTGCCTACTAAAAAAGGAAATAAAATTTTAAATAATTAGAAAAAATTTACTCCATCCCTGGTCGTCTCACCCTGTTTTAATTCCTTTAAGAACACCTATTCTGTATTTTCTTATGCCTCATTAATTTATTTTCTCTATTTCTCCTCTAACTTAACCAGAAAATAAACTATGAAACAGAGATTTTGTCTGTATTATTCACCCTGGAGCATTCAGCACCTAGAACAGGACCTAGCGACAAGCAGCCATCCCACAAACGTTTACTGACCACACGTAACCTACCTTGCCTTCTTATCTCCTAAACCACGTCAGGATTCTGAGTTTGGTGACCCCCTTCAACGCTCTATTACTTGGTGTGTACCTCTCTCTCTGCCATTTTCAGGTTGTATTATAATCACCTGTTTGGGTGTCGGGCTAGCCCAGAAAACTGTCGTCTGCTTGAGGTCCCAGACCGGAGCGCCTGGCGCACAGCAGGAACTCGGTAAACGTCTGTTAAATAAACTTGGCTGAAACCGCACCCTGACACTCCGAGGACCAGAGAGCGTCAGGGAGTACTCAACACAAGCACCGCCACGGCAGCTGTGTGACCGCCGCGGGGCCAGCACAGGTCAGGGCAGCCCCGACAGCGCCGGACGAACCCCGCTCGGGCTGCGATCGCCCGTCCCCCACCCCAAAGGAGACAGAGGAGCGGCAGAGACGCCGCGTGAGCATCCGCACCGAACACCAACAGGGCCGTGCCCACGGACCATCCCAGGGGCCCGCTCCCGCCATCCCTGCCCTCGTTCTGTCCTCGGGCACAGGCGGGTGAGGCCGACAGGAGAAGGCGGGGTCGCAGCCATCCCGCCCGCCAGGATGAAGCGCCATATATCTCTGCCGTGGCTCAGGCGGGTCTCTCGCCACGCCGGTACCCGCTCCCCTTCGCCAGCCTCACCATTGTGTCCCCGAAAGCCTGGGCGCCGCCATGTTGGAGGAGACAGCACTACATTTCCCATGAGTCTGCGGGGCGACGAAAGGCACTCCCACAACCCCCTTCGCCGCCCGGCGGTCCTCGTCTCTGGCGCGGCCTCGAGGCTTCCGCGCGTGAACAGCTCTGCCTTACGGCGAAGATGTGGTCGTCGTATTTACGGCAAGAGTGAGGGCCCGGAGCGCGTCTGACTTCTGGTAGCTCCGCACAGGGATGCTATCAAGGCGGTTGTGCCCCTCGGTCGCGCAGTGATGCCCGCCTCCTGAATCTTCTTGGAGGAACAAGAGAAGGGCCTGGGGTCTGAAGGAGACGTCGCGCGGGCGACGGAGAGGAGAGGGAAGGTGCATGAACGTGGCAATGAAGGGGGCAACCACGCGGCAACAGGACGGTCTGCGGAGGCCGCGGAGGGTCGTAGGGCGGGAAAGATGGGTTTCGCCAAGTCGCGGAGGATGCTCGTACTGAGAGAAACCGTTCTGGTCTGCAGGTCTGTGGGGGCGCCTGGAGGAAATGGAGTTCTTGAGCAGAGAGCGGCTGGTGGAAGGCGGGAGGAGACAGAGAAGGAAGGAGACGAGCAAACTGGCGCGAGGCCCAAGTACAAGGTAACACAGTGAGTAGGACCCAGCAGGGGCCAGAAGACGCGGGAGCGGATGGTGATTAGCCATGCCCTCGCCCTGATGTCCTGTGTGGGACGTGAGTGTACTGTCCCCGTGCCCCGGTGAGCTATGTGAGTGCAGGGAAGAGAAGGGGAGAAAATCACGCCCGCAGAGCAGCGGTGGGGCCCCCGGGCGGACCCTGCCCCTGGAAGAACAGCTCCAACCGGAGTGCTGTGCAGTGGAGGCATGACTTCCACGGAGCCTCCTAGGTTAGGAGGAGGAAAGAACAGAAGTCCAGGGAGAGAGAGTGAGGCTGGGGCTGGATTGCAACAGTTGCCCGCTGGAGACGGTCAGATCAAGCACACTCCCCAGCCACAGAAGACAGGATAGGGGAAACCTGCTCCATCTCCCCATTGTGTCCTTGCTTGTGCATCACCGGATGTCTGCAGAAGCATGCTCCTCTAGGACCTGCTGCGATGGTGGACATGTTTGTTGTCCAGTAAGGTGGCTGCTGACCATGTGGCTTTCAAGCATTTCAAATGTGGCTAGTACAAGTAAGGAACTGAATTTTGAACTTTTAAAATTTTTATGTGGTTTTAATTAACTAACTTAAATTTAAATAGATGCATGTGTCTGGGGGCTACCAAACTGGACAACAGTGTAAAATATCCCATTGGCCAAATTCAATGAATTCATCTCCCCATCCACCCTGCTTGAAGGTACTGAAGATTTTAAAGCTTTTGAACTTCTTAGCCTCTGTGAAACTACCTTGGTTCTGTGAGTTCTTTCCACACATTGTGATCACTTGTTTTCAGAGGTTTTCACTAGCTTGACTTTCTCTTTCTACAATCAAACAGAAGCAATTCTTCAGGCTTTGCAGTTGACAGTCTTCTCTTATTCTGTAGTATTTCCGCATCTGCTGCCCCAGAGTTTGAGAGATTTGTGAATCATTCCTTAATCTTTTATCTTCAGCCCTGATTTTGCTTTAGGAGGCAGTTTGGTTTAGGAAAAATAATATGGGCATTGGGGTATGACCTGACACAGAAACCGCAAAACACCATTCACCTTTTGGGATTTATATAATAATTACTATAAAGTATCTATTAAATGGTTCTTCATTCTTTTTCTATCCTTCTGATTTTGAGTTACAAGCACATATTTCCAACCACCCACAGTCCATCCTTGCCTCCATATCCTTAGAAAAAGTTAGAGACACATAAAATTTTGCATGAAATTGATTTCATACAGGCCCTTATCTTTTACTTGGGATATTGCATGGATCGTTCTCCCAGAGAAGATGACTCCCTGAAGTGATTTTCAGCTATGTTAAGGCCCTGTTTTATTCATTGTGTAACTCCAGTGTCTTCCATAATCTTGTAATAATAGAAATCTGATAAATGTTGAGCTGAAAAGAAACTTAATTTGAAGATAGAATTCATCTTCACCAGCTTTACATGGTGATCTATAGTAATTTCTCGAAGGTTTTAAATGCTGAACTAATGACTCTTTCCTTAGTAAAAGTCACCTCAGCTTCTTAGTAGGTGCAGTCCTCTGTGTGACAGGTACAGAGGTTGGCAAGATTTTTCTACAAAGGACCAGATAATTTTTCATCTTTGTAGCCACACATGGTCTCTGGTCACATATTCTTTTTTTGCTTCATTTTTTGTTTGTTTTTAAACAACCCTCTGAGAATCTAAAAACCTTCCTTAGCTCCCCTGGCTTATGCCAGCAGGATTTGGTTCGTGGGCTATAGTTTTCTGACCCCTGAACCCACTGGAACACAGAGATCTGTCCCACAGCAGAGTTCCAGAAATTAAGGCTAGGAGTAACATATCATTCAGGATTGCTTTCAGTTGCCAGTGACAGTAAAATAGACAGACTGCTTCTTTAAAAAAAAAAAACGTTATTCTTCCTCAACTGACAATTCATCCAGACAAAAGCAATCACTAGTATTTGTTCTACTGTTCAAAAATGTCATCAAGAACTCAGGTGTTTCCTACTCTCCTGCTCCACCACCCTTTGCAGGTAGACTTTTCATTCTCATTCTTGATGTCTCCTATTACAGGTAGCTGCTGCTGCTCCAGATATCTTGTCCCCATACTAGTGTCTCTACCTGGGAAAAAGGAGCAGAATCTGTCTTTTCATCAAGGAAATGAAGTTCACAGTGGACTCCTCCTTGTTTCTTTCATCATACATGGGGGTTCATATTATGGTAGGCAGAATAATGGACCCCAAAGATATCCATCCACACTCTTATCCTTGGAACCAATGAATATTCAGGAATAATTAAGTTTGCAAACCTCAAAACAGAGTATCTAGGGGCTGCATAGAACCACACAATTCCTTAAGAATAGAACATCCAACCCTCTGGTTCCCTTTCCCATCGGATCTATTCGCTAGTCTTGGTGGTTGTAAAAGGAGAAAAAAGAACAATGAAGCCAGCCTCCCAGTGCTTACAGTCTGGCATATAGCTTTTGGGCTGTTTCAAACGAGATCTGAACTTAAAAAAAAAACAAAACAGTATCTACTCTGGCCAGAGCAAGAGAAATAGAGCAGAAGAAATAAAAAAAGATTCCAAGTGTTAAGGATTCAACACACTGTTACTTTGTCAGAGAGGTAAGAGTCTGTGTGCAGGGTCTGGAGAGAAGCATCTGTAAGCTCGATGTAGCCCCCAGCTGATAGCCAGCAAGTAAGTGGGGACCTCAGTCCTACAACCACAAGGAACTGCATTCTGCCCACACTCTGTATAATTTTGGAAGCAGATCCTTCCCACAGTATCCTGATCAGGTCCCAGCCAACTGACACTTTAATTCTGACCTTATAAAACTCAGAGCAAAAAAAACAAGTGAGCCAACCCAAACTTCGGGCCTACAAAACTGTGGGACAGTTATCTGTGCTAATTTGTTAGAGCAGCAATAGAAAACTATTACACGTGCTTACTAGTCCAGTCAATCACTAGCTAATGGGAGTGGGATTGCCATGGCAGCTTTAGGCTAGTCATGCTTAATTCCATGGGTCTGAGATGAGGCCTATCCTCCCTGTGATCAAGAAACCTGGATAGAATACACTCTACCTGGAGAAAAGTAAAATTAGGGTTCTATTAGCCAGAAAAACAGGAAAACAGCTGTTGAGTAGACAAGTAACAGCATACTCCATAAGTGGGTTAAGCACTTGATCCAGCTGGATTTATCTCAAAACCTGAGAAAGAGAGACACCTGGGTGGCTCGATAGTTGAGCATCTGCCTTGGCTCAGGGCATGATCCCAGCATCCTGGGATCAAGTCCCACATCGGGCTCCCAACAGGGAGCCTGCTTCTCCCTCTGCCTCTCTCTCTCTCTCTCATGAATAAATAAATAAAATCTTTAAAACAAAAAACCCCAAGAGAGGGATGCTGGAAGGATGAGCAATATTATAAATGAATAAAGCATTGAAAGGTAGAATTTTAGTAGTATTTTGTATTTACTTCAAAATTCCTCAATCAGAAAATATTGAAGATGTTCCCAGTAGTCCCTGATTATATATTTACTGTGGTTCCAAATTGTGATTTCATTTCACTGCAGTTTCAGAATTAATTCCTATATTTAGGAGGTTTCTAATTTCCCTTCCTTCCAACCCAGACTGTTGGTTTTTGGCTACCTTCTGGCTTTTTCCCCACTTGTCCCCAGTGGCAAGTATACTACTTTTTGCACTTTTTTTTTTCTCCCACTTGTTGTTTAAAAAAAACCACAACTTTCCTTTCTCAATTTTTCCACTTACTCTTCTGCTATTTATTTTTTCCCTCCTAGGTAAATGACAAGTTTGTATCAAATTACAAGTTTCCTTTCCAAACTTTTGTCTCTGATGCTTCCCGGATTGCTGTCTTTAAACTCTCCCAAGAATGCATTATGTAAAACCATTTGATGTTCACGGTGACATTTCAGGATGGAATGCATTATTCATGCTTTGATGATAAAAATTCAATGAAAAGTTTGCAGTTTTGTTAATCATATGGTGAAAGAATTCCCGTACAGTAATTAGAGGCAAAAAGAAAAGAGAAAAGAAAGGGGACCAGTCTTCAATTTGTTATATAAAATATAAACCATTGCTTGGATTGGTGGTTTTTTTTTGGTCAGCTGTAAAACATAAGACTTTACCAGTAAAACATTAATTTTGTTTTTGTTTTGTTTTTTAAGATTTTATTTATTTATTCATGAGAGACACAGAGAGGCAGAGACACAGGCGGAGGGAGGAGAAGCAGGCTCCGTGCAAGGAGCCCGATACGGGACTTGATCCTGGCACTCCGGGATCACACCCTGGGCCAAAGGCAGGCGCTCAACCACTGAGCCACCCAAAAACATTAATGTTTTAAGGCCCTCCTTCCCACAAAATGGTTTACTTATTCTTGAGGCTGAAGACCTGCTGCTTCACAGAATACTTATTTGCAACATATTTCTCAGGTAGAAGAGAATAAAGAGCAGATAACTGAGGATACAGGGAAATCTTTGAGGTGGCCAGAGGACTGGGATTTGTGGTTTACAAATGTTATGGTCAAATGAAGCAACTTCTTAAAAAGGTTTCCCTTTACAAGAATTTAAAACATATCCTAAAAACTTATAAACAATTCATTTTAAAATGTTAACTTTGATGGCTTTATACTATCATTAATCTCTCAAAAACACACCAAAATAAAGAGATAATTGCCTCAAGACAGCAGGCTTCATCATTAACTGCACTGGATGTAAAGCCGTATTTCAGTATCATCTTCATGATCATTTCTAATTTGGGGGATTTCTTGTTAGATCTGGTTAGATGGTCTTAGCTTTATCTTCATGGCTAACAAAGACTGCCTTCTTGCCAGAAGCAGCAATTCTGCCATTTTCTGTTAGTTGGGCTGATTTATCTTTATTCACCTTCATTATAGGGACAACTTGTCCCTTTAAAAACAAACAAACAAACAAAAAACAGTTTTTGGATTATGTAAGCACTTACCAGGCACCAAAATCATGCCTTGCTTCAGTTAAAGGAGGGAAGGTACCCATGGCAGCTCCTCTGCCTGAGAACTCCCACTCCGCTCTTCTTTTAGAGTATCTAAGTCTAAAACATGTGACAACTCAACACGCAGGCCTGATAGGAAGCCTCCAGTACACTGTGAGTGAAGTTTAACTTGCTTTGCATGAAACTGTAAATAGAGTTTTGAACATCTTCCAGACACTCGCAGCCTTGCAGCCTGCACATTAGAAGCCACAGCACTGGGGCATGTTTCTCAGAGTGGCCTGTAGACTGGCCACCATCAGCATCACTGCAGTACCTGTTAAAAACGAAGAATTCCAGACCCCAGTAGACATGAGTCAGCTAAAGCAAATGTAAGTTTTAATAGCTTCTCTGAACCCAGTGCATTATAGTGTGCATTTCAAAATCTCTGCAGCCAGGGCCTAGCATTCTGCATGTGTAACAAGCTATCCTGCTGCTTTTACAAATGTTTAACCATCGAAAAATTTTGTATATTCATCAACATAGAGCTCTTTAAAAATCTACCCCAGAATGACAAATGACCAGGTTTCTAATATTTTGGGGATTTATTTTAGGTAAAATGTTTTCATTATATAAGGTATCTGGGACCAAGAAACCAAATGGTACAGCACTCCAATTATTAAATTATTACAGAACCTGTGAAATGAATGTCTCCAAACAATTCTAGGGGCACTTCAGAGGCTCTAGTGGTTAAGCATCTGCCTTCAGCTCAAGTCATTCTCTCTAGGTTCTTGCATCCAGCCCCACATCAGACTCCCAGCTCAGCGAGGAGTCTGCTTCTCCCTGTCTTTCTGCCTCTCACCCTGTTTGTGCACTCTCTGTCTTTCTCTCTCAAATGAATAAATAAAATCTTTAAAAAAATTCTAATTGCTGTCAACTGCATATCCCATTTTACAGATGTAGCAACTGAGACTTAAAGACAAAATGTAAGCTGGTTAAATAGACATTTTTAAGAGAGTGATCATCTTTCATGTCTGTATCCTCACATGAACAAAAGAGCTCAGTTTTCTGTGTTAAAACATATCTGCTATCTTTTGGCAAATACTAGCAATAATACTAAGTTATGTTATTAATCAACCCTAACAACAAAAACAACCCTAGGAGTTTTATACTGTCAATTTTACAAATGTGGAAAGCAAGGCTCCATGCGATGAAGCAATGAAGATGAAAATCACACGGTTAGCGACAGAGCAGCATCCGTCCCAGGGTCCCTCCTTCTCCAAGCGTATACATTATGCTCATGGACATCACTCTAGGAAGAAGTCCATTGATATTCTGAAGTCTGTCCAAATAATATGAGACAAAGAGGTGACAGACATGAAAAGTATTTTACTTACATGGTTGCATCTTTTAAACAAGCACATGCAATAAAGTGTAACTTAATCTTCAATAGAGTGTGTCCAGAATCCCAATTGCAAGTTTAGATGCTCTCTTGTCAACTTTATAAAAAGGCAAGCATTATTAATTGTCTTCTGTTCTTCCAGCTTTCAGTGTCAGAAATAAGATTGGTCACCATAACTTTCTCACCTATTTATGATCATATCATGGCTTCAGAGACCATGTGGTTAAGAGGAAGTCAACTAGACCTAGAATTTACTTTTCAACATCTCTAGGAAGCCTGTGGACATTGTCAGGATGAGGAATTAATAATTAATTAGCACTGATTATGGAGCTCTTCATGAAATTTAACACACCATAATGAAAACAGATAGCTTTGAAAAATCATTTGAAACAAGAAACTTAGTGAACTTGAATTATTGAGGTGGTAGGTAATACAGGTAGACCATATCTCAAGTTTAAAAATGTTTTCCATGCCCACCTAAATAATTGTGATTTAAGAGTCTCTGACATTTCTTAGGTCATCCCTTCTAGGACAAATGCCTCCACAGTTTTAAATGCTCTTTCAGTCCAATGACCATAAATGTTATTGTGACAGTGCCCTCATATTAACTGGTTCTGATCTAATCCAAGGATACTGGGGTGGGGTGAAGCGGGCAGGCAGACAAGCCTTAGCTGGGAATTCAGGAAACAAAAGGCGTTAGGAATAAAGTGTTAAATAAATGGGCATCTAGGACCTAAAGAAAGCAAGAAGCACAAAGCCCAAACCTTTACAATGTAGTGGGCCCCTCCAACCAGGAGATGGCAGCAATGGCAGCAGGAACTTAGAGGAAACAATAAAAATAAATTAGAATCCTGGGCAAATACCCATACTTGGAAATCAGGGCCTACCCTCCAGAGCTCCAGAATCACTAAAGGCTTCTGGCTGATACCGGAGCCTTCAGGAGGTGCCATGTCCCTGAAGTGACCCCAAGCTTCTCCCATTCAGAGTCCCAACAGAAAGGGTTAGGCATATTGAGCAAATGCTAACCAAGCCAGGGTAGCAAAGGGTCTCTCAGAAGCCAGCCCAGTTTCTATCAAGAAAAATCAACTAGAAGTAACAGAGACACCAAAGCATTTCAACAAGATAGCAGAATGATAAATAGG